GCCAAGTCCTGGCATGGCTGCCTAGCCAAGTCCATGATTAACGATGTCATTACTAGCAAGATGAAACCTCAATTGAATAAGCTTTGGCTTTTAATAAAAGCCTTGACTAAGCAGTAAACTAACCAGAGGGATGATCAACTGTGGAGTATTCCAAATATCACTGACTTGGAGTGTTAACAGAGAATCAAAATAGAACACCAATCCAGGGGAGTGGCCCAAAGCAGAATCTGATGGTAGAGTAATGGTACCATTATTTGGGGGATGTTTAAGGTTGTTTCCTTCACTGTATATGGAAAGTTCATAGCTAGAGGGGTTTCATTTTTCATACGCAGAAGGTAAGGCCCGGAAGTTAATGGACTCACTCTTGGACTCACATCAGTTGATGGTAAACCATGACCAGACCCAGGGCTCTCTCCACTATGCCACACAGTTTTCATAAAGCTCAGTAAGGTCTTATATGCAAGCAATGGCAACCATTTCCTAAGTCTGGAAATTTATCAGGGGTATGAGTAACTTTCAGCTTCTCTATTCATCATTGATTACTGAATTTTATCAAGGAAGGTTTTTTGTTTCTTGTTTTTTTTTTTTTTTCTTCCTCCCAAGGGAGTGTTATGGCTAAAATACTTCCTAAGTTCTCTCATGTTGGAAAAAGACAGCTAGCCACTTTTACACTTGAACTATATAGCTAGATATAATATTGTTGGATATACTTCCTTCTCCTAGTCTTGTAGGCATTGTTCCATTTTCTTACAGTGTTGAATACTATTTGTGGAAAACCCTGAGGCCAGAATGATAATATTCTACTTTATAGACAACATAATATTTTTCACAGATATATATTTTCTAGATAGTTTTTTCTTTAGCATTGACTTCTTTAACCTGAATGTGTCTAGTGTTGATTGCATATGTTCATTTTTTAATTGAAGTGATTTCTTCAACTGAAGATTCAATTATTTATTCTAATGAAAGGCCCATTTATTTTGTTCTTATGTATATTTTCCATTCCATTACTTGGGTTCTTTACTTCAGGAACAGTAGTTATTCCTTTTAAATCATGTAAGTGGGATAGGCACTTCAGTTTTCAAGTGCTTTCCCAGTGTCAAGTTGCTCACGCACAGCAAGTCAATAATTAGAATAATCTCTCTTAAGAATTCTTTGGCACTTTGCACAAAGTGCAGAGGGTAATTGACTCTGCCTTGGGATGTCCAAGAGGCAAACTTGTTCTCAATATAAGGAGTGATAAGTGTTATTTAGCAAAGGAAGAGACTGCTTTATGAAGTAGTAAAGTCCTCCTACACCTGTCTGTGATCTTACAGTGGGGAGGTGAAGTAAGTGATCATGATGATCCCTTCCAGCTCTGTGGCCCTGCAAAGAATAGTGTCAAGTGGGGGCCTTCCCATTAGTCTTTGGAAAGGGTGGACTGCAGGGTTGGTGGGTAAGAAGTAATCCATCTGCCTTCCTCTCTGTCAGTGGTTTCCCCACAGTGGAACCTTTTATTCTAAATCTATATTTGATGATTGATACCAGAAACAAATGAAAGAACAGAAGGGCCAGAGCCAATGTGACAGTAGAAGCCATTTTTTTAGTTACTTCTGCTACAGGTGAGATAGTGTTCTGTCAAGTCAAAAATAATTAGACAATGGAAGTTATAAAATATTCTATTTTTATTTATTTTCCTCCAATGAGAATTATAAACTGTAAAGTCCCTAAGATTACAAATCAGTATTGACCTTGTCTACTATTCTATTACCAGTTGTCTAGCATTGGGCTTGACATTCAGTCTAAACACCTAATATTTGTAAAATAAATAAACATTAAAAGGAGTAATAAACTTGAACTAATGAGTTTTCAAGATAGAAAATAAAGAAATGTAGTATCTTCTATCTCCATGAAGCCTATATTGTCAACATTTTAACCAGCCTGCAGACTTTAGTCTGGATGAGTCACATGTTTTTGTTTGTTTAAGTAAGTGTGAGAGCACTAGTAATCCCTTAAGATTCTTTGGCTTCATAAAAGTCCCTAAAGAGGCAGTGCTTTGCAGAGAGAGATGTTCTGGTGGTTTGTGGCAGTGCAGCATGGTGGAAGAGTATGGAATATTAGAGTGTACTAGTTCTAAGTTTGAATTGTGGTTTTACCACATAAGTGGCATTGGATATGTACTTTAAACTTCTCTGAGGTTTAATGTTTTTACCTGCAAAATGTTAAACTAACATTTCATAAGATAGTTATGAGAATTAATTAAAACCAGTTATAGGAAGCATTTAAGATGGCACATAGAATGGAACAGGTAAACTTGGCTTACACATTTCTATTGCCCTCAATTTACCTGGAGCCTCCAGTTCTAGCTCTGTTACATGCTGTGGAATGGAGAAGGAGAGGGTGGTGATCTTGATGACTGGACAGTTATTTGCAGTAGAATTTCCTCCCAGTTTACCCTCCCAAATTGCTCCCTGACACCTAGTTTAGCCACATTCGTGGTACCGTAAGTATTAGATATGAAGTGGAAAGAAGGGAATTGCTCACTCTTCCAAATGATACAACATTAGGTTTTAAGAAGGATAAAGGGGTTTATTAAAATTGCCTTCCAAAAGGAGCTAATTTAGATCCTGATTGCACTGGCCTTAAGGAATGGGCAGACCTCATCACGCACCTTGGGTATCCCAAGACATTCCACACTTCCATGAGACTGGTTGATTAAGTTGCTTTTACTTATTCCCATAAAGTCAATTTCCAGATTCCAACATCTCTAAAGTCCAATACCTCAATGCATTGCCCACAACTTGTTTATACTCTCAATGTGACTCTGACCCATAAAAAGTTTTATGATGGAATCAATCTTGATGAGGGAATCATTGGGTTCCCATGCAAGTGATTTGTGCTCATTAAAGTCAGACCAGACTGCCCCAGTGTGGAGGAGGAGGCTAGCCCAGCTCATAGCCATCCAGACCTTAAGAATGTCACCAATCACAACTTGAAGCTTTCTCAAAGAAAAAAAAAAAAAAAAAAAACTCCGAAAATCATGAAGATATTTATTCTCCTCTAAAGAGAACATGGCTCTGGGATGCTACCTGGCAGGTATAAGGAAAGGTTCCTGCACACAACTCTGAATGACATTTCTCTGAAGTTTCTCTTGAGTGCCTGTCATGAGTCAGACTGTCCAAAGGGTTGGGAAAAATAGTGAACATGACAAAGTCTTTGCTTTCATGGAACATGAATTTTAATGATACAAGGGGGCTGGGAGACAGGAAGATGAATACAAAATCACGAATATTAATGGTATGATGCCGATAACTAATACACGGTGATGGGATAAAGAGAGATTGTGCCAACACTTGGATCTACTGGTCAAAATGGCTTCATAAAGAAAGAGCTGAGATTTGGAGGAGAAAGACCAAGCCATGTGAAGATCAGAAGGAAAGAAACTGCAGGCAAAGAGAAAACTAGTGCAAAGGTCTTAGGGCAGGGATGAGCTTGAAGTGCTAACGGGACTAGTTCCCAAAAAGTACTAGTGCACGTGTGTGTGAAGGGGAAGGCAATTTTAATAAATCCCCGTTATCCTTCTTAAAACCTAATGTTGTATCATTTGGAAGAGTGAGCAATTCCCTTCTTTCCACTTCATATCTAATACTTATGGTACCATGAATGTGGCTAAACTAGGTGTCAGGGAGCAGTTTGGGAGGGTGAACTGGGAGAGGGTAAGGAAGATGGTGACAGCAGATCAGTCAGTAGCTAGGGGGTCAGATCATGTAGCATTGGTGGACCTAGGTAAGAGGCGCAAATTTCCCTTTTAAAATCTTGTCTTCTAGAGTTGGCCTGGGGAAGACAAAAGTGTAAAATGATAACTCAGAAGGAAGACAAAGACATGCGTGAGAATCAGGAAGGGTAAGAAGGTCTACAGAAACTAGAACCAATCTAAACCCCAGTTCTTAATTTAATCCAGGTCTACGCAATTGGGTGCTACCAAACCTTCTCAAAATCGTAAATTAATCTCGTTGCCCCAGTGGCATTCTCTTTATGATATGGGGTCACTACAGCACTATTTACAGGGGATTTCCAATTAGAAGTGGGCATGGGTATGGAAAGCAGCCAGGTTTTGATATTTGTTTTTCTCTTAACTAATTGGAGAACTTTGGCTAAGTCCTTTGCCTCTTTAGGCATTGATCTTCTCATGTGTATACCATTTAGTGTGTACTAAGTGATCTCCAAAGTCCCTGCTAACAGTCTGGGGTTATATGATTCCATGATATCTGGTGGAAGGAAGCTCATAAGGACTGTGTTAAAGAAAATTAAACACATTTGATCTCTTCAGAGGCAAGGTCTTATTAATAGCTTGGAAAGCCGCATGCAGTGGCTGAATTCTTAGAGATGAACCAGGTAAACACCATGCCAGGATTAACCGCATCCTGCATGTAACTCATTCCATTCCTCTGTGTACTGGGAAAGCCTTGTTTTTCTTTTTTATACGACCCTCAAATCTCCACCGCTATTTCTAAATCTTTCAGAAAGGCATTCTCTTTTCCATAATGCAAGACAATTGCAAAATGAAGAGAAAATGGGTTATCACATTCTACTACTAATTTGGAAGCTCAAAAGTAAAAGGTAATAAAATGCTTGAACCATTAGGTAAGTTTCTGATACTATTGCTGGTGGTTAGGCGCCCTCTACTGGTGGACTCAGCAGCAAAGCACGGAAAGCTGAGTTTTCTATTCTGGGATGACTGCTTCCTAAGGAGACCTGGAATGCAAGTGTGTCCTCAAGGATTTCCAAAAGGAAAACTTGCTTCTTCTAGGCCATATCTCATTCAAGATAAATTATTTCACCTTTACAATTCCTGAAGGTTGTCTTAGAAAATTTTTAACAGAAGTGAACAGGCGAGCACCCTGGTCTCAGAGACTGAAAATCTTGTTTTCAGAAAATTTTCAGATAGACTGAGAACATCCATTATAAATGAAATCTTATTAGAATTTAAGAATATTTATTTTAAAAAACTGTGGACTTTGGTGTTGTATGGAATAAAAGAATATTGGCATTCTCATAATAGAGATGGGAAATGTCTTAGTGATCCGGGTACATGGATGTGGTTAAGGAGCTACCACCTGCTTTGTGGCTTTGAACTGAGCCTGGAATGTGGTAGAGGTGGTGGGTAAGGGCACAAGATTTAGTCAGACCTTTGAGTCCTCGTTCTGCCACTTATTAGAAAAGTCACTAAAAGCCCCTAACTTTCCTTCATGTGACAGTCTCTTAAGTATTTCAACACAGTATACAAATTCCGTACACTAAAGTCAATTTCATTCCATCGGATTCATTGTATTTATTCAATGGGACATGGAAGAGTGTAAAAATACTACAGAGTAGTTTACAGCATGTATTTATTTATCTCCTCATTGTATTTACAGAGTAGCCTCTCACCAGGGCACTATATTGAGTACTTAAAACAATGAATTATACATAGACACTGCCCTCGAGAATGAAAAACCTAGGAGAAAAGCTAATATATATAGACAACTATTAAAGGTGTCAATGATGTGAGAAATACATGTGATCAACAGAAGTTCTCAGAAGAGAAATTATTTCCAATTCTGAGGAATCAGGAAAGGCTTTTCTTTCAGTATTACATTATTGATATGATTCCTGAGTTTGCCTGAGCACTAATCCTTGACCATGTGGAAAGATAAAATTCAAAGTGTTTTAATAATTCTGTTGGCGAGCTTGGGATGTATTAGAAACAATGATATTAAAAAGAAACAAAGAAATGAAAAAATAAGGCAGTTACAAACTCACAGAAAAAAAATCGTATAAGAAAGAGCATATTTTTGTAGTACACTATTTGGCTCAATGATGAATAATACTTACATTATTATGATAACATAAGTTTAAACTGGTAAACTAATCAAAAAGTGTGATTTAACTCTACTGGGAGGAGAAAAAGAACATATGTATACATGAGAGAATAAGAGAATTAAATGTCCACTTTCAAAAAAAATGTTAATAAATAACGTTGACAATTATTATATTAATAAATGTAACCTATAAATATGGAGGATTGGACTAAAAAAAATCAGTTAAAAGTTAAAAGCGATTATGTAGAGGGGAGGGCTCAGCAAATAGGTGATACTGAGGACCGCTGATTTTTATGATGACCATTGCAAGCTATTTAACTTTTTAAAACATGTGTATATTCCATTAAATGAATTTTTAATAACAAAAAGAGAGTGAGATGATGTAGCAGATTCTTGTTTGTTTGTATGGTTTTGTTTGTCCATCTTCCCACCCTTATTTTGAGAATGTAACCTTTGCTTTCTCAACACTTTTTTACTCCTCTACTTTTAAACACATGTTTCCTATGGAAGATTACGTTTTCTCACATAACTATATTCCCTGGATCCAATTGATTGGTCCAGATTTAGAAGGGAAAAAGAGAGAGGGAGAGGGAGAGGAAAGAGGGATAGAGTTATATAGAAATAGATTTATGTGTGTGCGCATGTGTGTATGGCGGGGGAGGGAAGAGAGAGAGAACAAAATGGCACACAAAGACAGAGAATAAAAAAAAGAACTTAGCAACGTTGAAGTTTCTGGTTGCATTTATTCTGGAGGACAAGCTTTATCCTTGCCTTTTTAGTAATTTGGCTGTAAATTTATTTCAAGTAGAAAACCTCTTACATCTTCTATGCTTTTTTTACAGTTAGTTTGAAATTATTTCCTTTTCTGCAAGGGACAGTGGCCTCACTCCTAGTCTAAAATGGTATCTGATTAGCAGCCCCTGTGCAGTCTTTCAAAAATTCTCAGAAGATACCACTTACAACACAGTAGATGTTTTTTAAATGTGGTCTTTCCTGGGACTAGCAGGCAATGTCATACTTGAGCCTGGGAGGAATCCTTAAATTATAAGGCAGGTGAAGATGAATGGAGAGAAGACAGGGAGATATGTCATCAACAATCTACAATCAACGCAAATGAAAACTGTGGGCAGTTGTGTGTATAGTACAGAAGATACTCTTTTTGAGGCATAAAAAATGCAATTGTCCCCTTCTCTTCCTCTCCAACTCACCTCCTGTCTTTTTTATTTTTTTTAACTGAGGCAACATTGGTTAATAATATTATATAAGTTTCAGATGCATAACATTATAATTCAGTATTTGTATACGCTATAGTGTGCTCACCACCAAAAGTCTAATTCCCATCAGTCATCACATACACTTGACCTCCTTCACTCATATCATCCTCCATCCACCCACCTCCTGCCTCCCTAGTAACCACTATCCGGTTGTCCACCTCTATGAGTTTGTTTTTCTGTTTGTTCTTTTTCTTTCTTTTTTGTTTTTTTTTTGTTTGTTTTATATTCCACATATGCATGAAATCATATGATTTTTGTCCTTTTCAGTTGACTTTTTGTCCTTTTCAGTTGACTTTTTGATAATAGTCATCCTAACAGATGTGAGGTGATATCTCATTGTGATTTTTACTTGCATTTCCCTCCTCAATAACTAGTGATGCTGAACATCTTTTCATGCACCTCTTGGCCATTTGTATGTTCTACTTGAAAAACTGGATTGCAAATTGGTACAACCAGAATGGAGGTTCTTCAAAAAATTAAGACTAGAACTGCCATATAATTCAGCTATTCAACTTCTGAGTACTTATCTGAAGAATATAAAAACACTAATTTAAAAAGATTATATATATAATCTTTATATATTATATATATATGTGTGTGTGTGTATACAGCTATGTCTATTGTAACATTATTTATAATATCTAATATATGGAGACAATCTAAGTGTCCAAAGACTAAATGGATAAAGAAGATGTGATATATACAGTTGACCTATGCACAACATGAGTTTGAACTTTATGGGTTCACTTATACACATTTTTCAATAAATACAAGTATTTCGATAAATACCTATACTGGTTACGATCTGCAGTTGGGAGTCCACTGATGCAGAGGGCTGACTGTATGAATTAATCTATATCATTATATATAGGGGACTTGAACATCCATAGATTTTGGTATCTGCAGTGGTCCTGCAACCAATCCCTGTGGATTTTGATGGAGTCAAAAGGGAACCTCTTGTCCTTCTAAAATCTATTTGGAAATTAAATTTCTGCAAGCATTGGGCATAAAGTAGTAGGAATGACTGGTTATGATGCAGTGTATTCTAAGAGGAAGAGCCTAACTAAGAAAAGACTGGGGTTTGGGGAGGGACACAGAGATGAGAAGAGCTAAGGGTTGTCAAAGCTACAAATTCTATTTACTCATGAGACTCAGAGATCAAGATAGCTGCTTAGGGAAAAGATGTCAAATTTATAGAAAAGAACTGCTCTGCATGAAAACCTGCTAGAAATTATACTCTGGGGAGTCAAAAGAAAGGGAAGAGAGACATATTTGATGCTGAAATAGAAATTAAATCCATGCAGAAGATGCAGAGGAAAAGATCCAAAGGAAATGATGAGAAAGGAAATGACAGATATGGAAGACCATGAGTGAAGATCAAAGAAAGAAAGGCTGGAATAAATGAATCATAAGCAATTGTTAAAGAAAAAAATACAAATCAAGCCTCAATTCTCCAAATTAAAAAAAAAACTTTACAGACAGATTGCAAGTTTCCATGCTGTCCTAGATAAAGTAATATGAATATGTTCATTCAATTCTGAAGTACTGTTTAAATTAAAAAGAGCAATATAATTTTTTAAAACTTCCACAAAAAGAAAAGTTTATGTATGAAAGTGGGAAAAGAAAAACAGGCTGTACTCATAAGTTCTTATCTGCAGCACTAATGCCACAAGACAATGGAGTAACACCTAGAGAGTTCTAAGCAAAAACTGAGCTACAAGTTGCCTTATATAAATGAAGGCAATAAAAAGATATTTTTATTAAATATGAATTTTAAAAAGATTCATGTAAAACAATTATTTGAAGTTCTTTTCCAACTAACTGGGGATACTAAAATAATGCAAGCTCATAAAAGAGAGCATCATCTCAATAAATGTGATGGGATTCAGCACTAAAACTAGAGAAACATGGCCCATATTTACCTAGTTCTCTCCAGTATAGATGTAAATCTAGATGTAAAAATGAGTCTAAAACAAAAACATCTGTTCCTTTAAAAATAATGTAAAATTCATGATTATATGAAAAAAATCTGAGTTTAAAACATCAGCTATTATTAACAAAGACTCAGAAATGTGAGGCGAAGTGAGAGTGGAGGATTGTGTACTCAAAAGATCATTTCCTTCTTGACTTTGAAAATTAGTTCATGTAAAGAAAAAAGGGCTTTTGAAATATTAAAAGATAAACATCAAAGAAAGTAAAAGCAAAGAAAACAAGGTCTATAGAGCAAATAGGAGTAACAAATGAAACAGCATAAAATAATATTTGAAAAGTATAAAACTACATGTCAGAACATGAAATAGGCCTTTTGTGCTAACAAACGTTGATGTTAAGCACCTCTTTTAAAAGTCAATGACTCTCAAGTTGTTTTCCCAAAATTTGGCCAGTTACTGTCTATAAGAGAACACCCCAAACAAAAGTATGCGAGAATATTAAAAGTATCAAACAAAGATGCATTGGGCAAATGCAAACAAAAGAAAGGAGGGGTGCCAAGCATACATATCAGACAAAAACATTGCAGGAAGTAAAAGTTCACTTCTTTTGATGAATAGTACAAACATTTATAAGATTAATAAAGTAGCAAGACATTTAATACAACCTCTAAAAAATTAGGCACACAGTAATACTTATTAACAACAGATCAAACAAGCCGAAATAAGTATATCTAGAAATGACAAGATTCATTCAATAAGACACTACTGATACCTCTTACAAATGAATAATAAAACAATATTTAAAATCTGTAGAATACAGTATTTTTACTTGAATATTTTAGGTCACGAAAAAAATCTCAGATTCTAAAAACAACAAAAAAAAATAGTACAGCCTTCTCTCCTATCTCCTTTTCTGACCAGAAGAAAATAAAACTAGGAATGAATAATCAAAGTATTAAGCCAGAAATAGAAATTTAAAAAATATTCTAAATAACTTATGAACAAAAATAATCCACACCATAATTACAAAGTATAAAAATAAAGGGATTACTACATATTACCTCTCTGAGACTGAAAAAAA